AAACTTCACACACACATGGTACATCATGTCACAAATAGATATGTGCATTTGTTTCATGATCTGCTTAACAATAGCGGAATGATGGCCATTTTAAGGCCGAAAATGCATCAAAATCACGTATTTTCACAATTCCAGAACCGGATCTCAGTCATGCATGGATGGATTTTGTTCAGATTTAGCACAATGTGTTGTACATATGCAGGTGCATTTCAGTCATGATCTGCTTTGAATGTATATGTCACTCAAATATGAACGGAACGGGGACGTGTCATTGACAATGACTTGTTTGGTAATAGTTCAACCCGCAAAACATAGGGGAATTTGTCCACCCTTGGCTCTTAGTTGAAATCGTGACACCAGGATATCATACTCTGACAAGATTCAACTAAATATTACAGTAATCCATTGAAAAAAGCTGAAATTGAAAGCCTCGGCAGTCTAGAAAAGATGATAATGACAGCTATAAACTTGTAGAACAATATGTCTGTTCACTCTATGGTCAAAATTATCATCTGTGAAGGAGGCCAGGTTGAGAATTTTCCTGCACAAATACAACCAGCCCATTTAGAGTCTATTGGAAAAATGTAAAAACAATCGATGCAGGCATGGTTCCACCCTGCAAATATGTCCTATTACAAACATTGGCACAGTGCAACTATGACACAGATTTTCGAAACATGCATGCTAAGAGATCCACTAGATAATATCCAACCACAGATCATACTAGGAAAGGTTAATGGAATCTTCCTATCAATACGTTTTACTAGGAGTCAGATGCCAAATTTACTTCCTGATACTATGGGACCAGAAGATGTGACAGATGATGATAACGACAATAACTGGTGATGATTCAGATGATAACGGCGACAATGATGATCACTAGTAACTGAAATTACTGAATTGCTATAGTTTATCAATATAAATATTGTGTATTATTTAGTAACTTCTAAAAAATACATGTGCATAATGAACATTCATAAAGAAAGACCTATTTTGGCCAATATTTTGGTCACAGAGGCAGAAATGGTAAAAGTCTGTCATGTATTATTAAAATATTCTTTAATCTGATTTCATAATTGTAATCTTTCTAACCTAAAGTTGTTCATTGATATTTAACAAGCCATGCATGACCCAGTTCTAGTTTGTTATCAAACTTAAGGTATATATTTTTTTTATAGTAATATAATTCAAACATGTCAAAGATATGGATCCAGAAGCTGATGCTTGATTATGGTGATTTTTTAACACTGAAATGATTGACATTCAGTCATCTTGTAACTGATCGTCAAATAAATTCTTATCCATAGTTAGAGATATTGCTGTGGAACAGCATTCATTAAACAAAATGGCCATTGGTCAGCCATTTTGAAAACTGTATACCTATAACATGTAAAATTAATATATACAATTTTAACATAATCAGTCAAGGCATGGCAGAGATATGGCACTAGAACTGCATTCATTAAAACAAAATAGCCACGAGTCGGCCATTTTAAATCCAATCTGAAAAATAAAATGATGTGCATAATAATAATGTTCAATGTATGTACCAAGTTTGAACAAAATCCATTCATAAATGCTTGATTTTGATGATTGTTTAGTAAAACAATGGTCACCAAATTGATGTGCATATGTATAATTTTATGTGTGAAGATTGAATGGCATGTCTAAGATATAGGTCCAAGGTCACAAGTTAGAAATCCTGATACAAAATCATTGCATAACATGTGCACTTATTTTATTACAGTATAATTTGTTCACTGAAGATTAATAACAAATACAAATGCTTCTGTACAGTATTACTTACAATAAAATAACTTAAGTAGAAAACAAATTATTGTGCATATATTTGCATCAACTATTCAGAGCAAGAATAGCATCTTGTGAATACTTATCAATATTTACATATACATATCTAATGACTTGTAAGTAATTGTTTTTTTAACTCGGAAAATACCTTTTTGAAAAGTTTAAGGCAACAAGGCAAGGTTGATATTTATTGTGCAGTTTTACTGGTTTATTACACTTAATATTTGCAAAATACATAATATGTGCATAACTTGTAGTTGTACTGGAAATATGCAAATCTTAAGACTTGGACGGTTACAAGACATGAACATGGACAATATGATACAGAAAATATAATTCTGTGCTTTAACAATAAAGCCACTGTTAAATATTATTAGGAAATTCCATCTCCAGTACTGTCACACTGAATAGCAGTGATTTGTCTTAAATGGTGCACTGAAGGACAGCAACATAGTTTTTCCATTATGAACGAAACATTCAAAAATATACTAAATATAAGTTTTGAACCATTTTCTGATACAAATCACCATATATTGTAACACTACATCAATGAACAGTCTATATACACTATAAAAGCTTTTATGCAATCTGTATTAGTTTTGATATATGCATCACATATTTATCCTCGCCCATTAATCACATTTTAGCTATGCATTTATTCCCATCATGCTTTAATTTTATACATAGCACTGCGCATTTAACTGCAACACTGAAAATGTACTGAGCTTAACTTGTAACTTCATCCCATGTCGGATCCAGAGACTGAATTATTTTGTTAATGGAGTGATCTGATAAAACAAATACCACAAACTTTATTCTCTAAGAAGAGTAATCACTGGACTCGCCTATCACGAGATATTTCTGTCACAAGAAATTTTATTTGCATAGCTCTCCTAATCACAGATAAGCATTTTTGACTACCAGGTCATTTTCAAAAGAAGGGCCTGGTTAAGACACTTTATTTGATCTGTGTTGTAATACACTGAAATGCATCAAGAAAATATGTGATGTGAGCATGATGGTAGGGCGATAATTTGGCAGCATAAATGCGATAATTTGGGCGACTTGAATGCAATAAAGGCATGTCTGTATGACAGGCTGGTTGAAAGTCATGGTACTGTATATGTATACGACAAGCAATGACAAAGTCAACATACTGTGTTGCATTATATACGAGTAAAGACACATTTCTAAAAAAATATAATCTACTTTTTGTTACAATCCCACAACATTACCGACCAGTGATTGGTTTATAGTGTAATTTCATACTTCTACTTCACACCTTGAAAATAATACTATTAAAACTAAAATGTATGTAGAGACTCTGGTCGGTTTTAATAGTCCCTGGTGTACATGCCACTAATTACATCTGACCAACTACAAAATGCATTCAGGCAGCTGTCTAACCAATTAAACTTCACCTTACTAAAAACTGGATATGCTGTTGTAGAAAGCATTCTATAACACAAATTCTGATTGGTTGCTGAGACTTTAATAAGATTTACACAGGTCAGATGTAGATACAGCAATGTACACCAGTGATCATAAACAAGTCAACTGGTGACCTTCCTATCATTTCATGGCTTCTTCAGCAGTCTCCATGCTAGTCTGAAACGAATTCGCTCATTAACAAAAAGTAAATTTATTCCAACGTCACAAAGGAAAGGAGGCAGTCGCACATTCATCTATCTGGCAACTATCAGTTGATACAGCGTGTTCGAAGAACACAACTGTCATTCATTGCTTGGTACATTAACATATTCAGTTTAATAGTGTGCTATATTTATCAATCAATCAACATTGAGGTCACATAAGCTAATAAGCAAGTGACCGTACATTAAAAGTAACCTACATCCAATTTTCATTGGCCTTATGCATGACCTCTAAAGGTCACACATCCTGGTACTTTCAGGGGATATTTTGTTTCATCACAGCAAGAATTTCCAATAATATATATCGTTTTTTACGATGTTTAACTGTTTTTGAATTTCAAAGATAACTGCTTGCATTTTTGTGAGAAAATAATTAAATTCGAATTGAAGGTGAATTTGTACCCCCAGAAAGTACCAGGATGTGTGACCTTTTGGAGGTCATGCATATGGCCTATTAGATGGCTCGAAAATGATTGCAAGAAAAGGTTTCATAACAATTTTCTATATCATGCTATGATTTGATGTGCCTTCTTAATATACAGTACTATTGCAACTAGTAAGTATTTAAAAACTTATCAAAATATTCACAGTATAAACATTGCTTTAATCATCATCCTCATATTTTCGTAGTCTCTTGCGAAGGTCTTTAATTAATTCATTCTTTTTCTCCAGCATTTTCTTCATGTTCTTGTAAGCTCCAGTTTGACTGAATTTCCTTTCAAGTTCCTGGCAAATTAATTCAAATATGGACACACTCATTGTTTATTTCAGTATAATAATATATGATAATTTGTCTAGCCTACACACTATCGCAAACCTCTGAATTCATGATCAATAATTATTATTTCAAAACAGGATATAAAATAAAATGCAGATTGTTCCAGAGTATGGTGATAGTGCATGTTTTTTCTCACATTACAGTTTTGTAAGTGACATCAAGTGTTCACAGTGATTAGATGAATTTTTCAAAATCCTGTAAAACCATTTACTTTCACTGGCATTTAATTTCACTTTTTAATATATTTTGAGCAATTTCACGGACTTGGCAGGAAAACTTACTTGGAATAGATTACCTGAAACTAGTCTATTAAAACAGAGATAGATGAACTTGTAGTGTTTACAATTGAACCTTACCTTTTCAGCCATTTCCAATTGTTCTTGAATTTCCAGAAGCCGATGTTTGGTACTTGTCAAATCTTCTTTCAACTCTGATTGCGTTTTTGAACTGTCATGTAAGTTCTGAAAAGAAAATGGGAGACAGTTAAGTCTGAAAACGGAGATGTAATTATGTTTCAACTGACAATTAATGAGTGTTCTACCTTCTCCAATTGCATTCTGACATTAGACATTTGACCTTCGAGTTCAGCGATATCACCACTTCTATCAGTACCATGTCTTCCTCTAAGTCCCCTCATCTCATCCTGGGCTCTTTCCAGATCAGAAGCTAATGCTGATTTGTCCTTAAGAACACCAGTTGCCTAAAAATAGTGAAACAGATATCAGTAAAGAGGTCACATTAAGTGCAAAGAAGCATACTAGTTCACCTGCCACCACCTGTTGGGCACCTAAAACAGAGTACCGTAAAATCTGTATTAGAAGCCGCATCTCTAATAGAAGTCGCACCCATTCTTTTTGAATAATTGAGAACCAAAAATTCACCATTTCTCATATGTGTAGATGCTCTAATAGAAGCCGCATTCCCTCTGTTGCATTGTACCATTTTAATAGAAGCCGCAGCTTCTAATAAAGATTTTACAGTAACAGTAGCACAGCCGCAATACTACAATGAAGACCAAGCTGAAAGACATTTTGCTTTGAAAATGAGTGCTCTCACAATTCTACAGTACAAGCCCTGAAAATGATTTTGGAGTTGTTACAGGAAACGATCTCCATTTTTTAGGGTGCAACATAAATCCTACATTCTGATAATATGGTACTATGCGATCAGATATCTACACACTATGATCAGTTTTACACTGGTTGTGAGTATACTTATGTTGACTTATAAAATTAAAAAAAAATAAATAGAAAATTCAATCTAATCTGCCTGTGAATTGAAATAGTTTTACAAATACATAACCACTCATCCAAACACCAATCAATCCACATTGCTTATTCCACTTACTACCGTCCGGTACCAGTTTTGGGCTGTGCTTGAAGGGGCTAAATATGTTCATAAACAAATTTCATTTCCATTTTCAATACCTATTTTTGACGCACTTTCAACAGTTTTCTAAGTGAAATTGAACAATCTGAGAAATACTCCTTGCTAAGATATATTTTGAACAGTGTAAAATCTGATTAGCAATCAGTTAGTTAATTTAATTTCTCCACATGTCTAGTAGTAAATTTTTTTTTTAACTATTTGGGAATAAGTGCTTTGCATAATCCATTATTTCATGGCACACTTAAAATTCTAGCAGCTTGCTAATATACAGACTCACCGCTAATTCCGCAGATCGTAGTCTTCCTTTCAATTTCTCATTCTCCTCAGTCAGTCTCTCAATTTCATTTTGAAGTAACTCAGCTCCTCCACTCTCAAGAGGCGACAACTTTTTCATGTCAAACGTTGGCTTACCAGACTGTAATGAGAAATGAATTTCAGAAATTTTTTTTAAAACTTGTTGTACCAGGCATCAGTTCCGAACATTGAATGTCACTGTTGTCTCTCCGGACTTTTTTTTTGTAAGTGCAAATTGCTAGTGCTGACACATAGCGCATTTTGCCACAGAAGTCATATTCATGTTTGGGACTACATGACAGGGCTGTGTGGCCATCTCTCTATTAAATGGCATTTTAAATGCGCTATACTGGCGTCAACCAGGCTCGGTCGAACATAACAAAAGTTAATATTCAGAAAACACTTTCACAATAATTTTTTATAGATTTTTTTTTTTTTTCAAATTAAATGGTTTAATTTATTATAAAGAACCCCAGAGCATGGGTTACATGTTCAATGCATTTTCCGTATTAATAAAATGCTTGTAGCTATTTCATTAGATGAATTAATAATGAGTTGAAAGCCTACATGTACATGTATGATCATTATAAGCTCATACTTTTTTGGAAAATTCAGTTTCAAAAAGGTTGAAGCAAATAATAAAAAATATTTTTGTTGTCAATGGTTATTCCAATTATGCAAAAATTATGAATGTTTCGAAAAATCACATTAATAATCAATAAGGAATTAACTAACAAAAATGGTACTAATAATATGGGAAATATATTAGAACAATAAAGCAAGTGTATGCGTTATGACTCATTAGATCAGTAGCTATTATCATATTTGTTGCACAGAGTGCATACTAAAATTCAATTTTCCATTCAATACCATTGTACATACAAATAGAGTACAATCACAATTTCCAAGTAAATTGTTTATTTATTTGTCTAATATTGATACTAGAATTAGAAAATATTGCTGTACACTATTTAATACCATTCCAAACAATTCCATTTTGTAGTAAAATCGTTCATCTAATATTTAGGATGAAAATTTTCATCAGAAACTACAAAGAACACCCATACGTAATGAAAAGAAGATTTTTTTTTTTTAAATTTGTTGAAAATGAAAAATAAAATATTTACTTTATGGTAAACTTGTATAGACTGAACACAGATGGTGATAAAACAATTTCTTTAAATAAGTTTTACATGTAACAAAACCAGCTATAAAATAATATGAACAATAACTATATTATTTAACACCTCACAAAAATGTTTCTGGTCAATGGCTTCTTCAAAAATTGGGCAAGGCTTTTACAGATTTGACTGAATTCATTGACAATGAGTGCTGTATACTAGCAAAATAGTCTGAAGTTAATTAGAGTAATTAGAGTTTCTATTGGCTAATCAAATGAGATAAAATACGTAACTAGAAAAATGAAATGGCCACCAGTCGACCATTTTAAATTGAAACACACGCAAACAAATAATGGACATTAATATACAACCTTCATACCAAGTTTGAATGAAAGTGATCTAAAACTCTGAAAAATCGTTCACTATACTACTAGTAATAAAATCTCCAAATTACTTGATGTGTACCCGTTAACTATTATGACTTATATCAACTTATCATGGCATGTCCGAGAAATGACCCCAGACAAATGGGCACATGAACACAGACAGAACCCTGAATTCGTCCACCGCCTAGGACTAATAAAGACATTAATGAGAAAATTGTAGAAAAAAATATCAATTTTTTGTAAAAAAAAAAAAAAAAAAAAAGACAGTCATTAAAGCCATATGCAAATAATACTGCAATTGTCAACCAAACCAAAATGATTGATCTGTAGCTGTGAAGCTGGCACTTTTGCTGTTATATGCCATGAAATTGTCATTTCTCACTACATTACAAACTGCACCTAGCGTAAGAATTAAGGATGTGCATGTGTGATATAAAATGCAGTTGTCAATATTGGTATTCAGCTACACCTTGTATGACTTAATGAGTAGCGGGGATTGTACGAACATCATGAAATTATTGGTCAAATTATAAATGAACATTAGCATAAAAAGAGCACTAAAAATTATGTATGATTTCCGACAAAGCAACTAAATCCCTGATCAAAACTTTAAAATTGATGTTTGTCATCGATAGAGCAAAATATCAGTCAGGGTGTTCAAAGCTGCATACTTACAGCTACCAAAGATTACTAATTAAAATTGGCAGTCCAGCAGGGTCCCAATGAATTTGGTTCATTTTGAACTGTGATGTGAATTAAATAAAAACCTATATGTATTGTTCTTATTATTAACTATAGTTTTAAATCTAATAATACAGTATGAACCACACAAATATAATTATAATACAGTATACAGGCATTGACTTGGAATCCTCAAGGAAAAAGGAAGAGGGGAAGGCCTCGTAACTCATGGCGCAGAGACATGGAGGCAGATGTTAAGAAGATGGGCCGCACATGGAAAGAACTGGAGACGCTGGCTCAGGACCGCTCTGCCTGGAGAAACCTGGTTGACGGCCTATGTCTCAGGAGGGGCGATAGGCGTAAATAAAAAAAAATAACAGTATCAAACTTACAGGTTTTCCAGAGAACTCTCTTTCTTCAATATCTTGAATCAGTTCAATTAATTCTCTGTTGGAAAAACAAAACATAATCAATTGATAATTTTCTTTATAGAAACATAATCAACATATTCATGTGTTTTGGGATTTTCCTGGGTACCCTGTCAACTGGGTAAAATATTTTTTCCCCACAGTGATTTAGAGCTTTAAGCCATCATCATCTTCATGTTTTATGGGTTATATAATACCGTTAGTATAACAAAAATGTTTTTCAAAAAAAAAAATAAAGTTTCTGGTCAGATAGGGCAGCGATTTTTTTTTTTTTGGCAAAAATATTTGCATCAATGTGAATAAGTGACCCAATTTTTTTTATGGTTGGCACACTGACCAGAAACACAATATTTGTGTGGACATGGTAACTGTATGAACAATTTTGTTCAATATTGGTACAAAGATTAGATTTCAATAGTCTGTATATGCATGTCAATTTGTCATGTTTATGAAAAAATATAACCAATTGGCAGCCATTTTTGGCGTTATACAAATAAAAAAAAATATTAACATGTCCTTTAGAAATATTTCCCCTACTAATGCACATTCTCTTATCTGTGAATTGAATTAAAATGGATGACTGATTGGTTTGGTTTAAATTGAGTATGAAGGCACGACATACAGTAATCATCTATTTATGCGAATTTGTTTTTGACGACAATAAAATTTAATCAAGATCAATGTCAAATGCCAAATACAAATCTGTGATGAAAATGGAATCAAATATGAAGAAAATTTCTTAAAAAGTAAATTATACAGTATAGAAAGTCTACAAATACAACATCAAATAGATATAAAATGATGGTCATCATGACCAGTGAAGAAGAGAGACTTAGGTAATAGCAACTCTATCAAAATATAAATATAATTGTTTTAAAATATTAAAAAGAGGAACAAGCTGAACAATTTTCTTGGACTAATATCAAAGCTGGTCAATCCTTTCCCAGCAATAATCAATAGATTGTCAGCTACCTCATAACAAATTTGACATATATTTTATTTATATTTTTTTAGATTTATTATCTTTCATTCTTCAAGTGTGTGTAAGTCTTTTTGTTTACAAATTGTTTTGTTCTCTGCTTTCTTTATTGTTCAACTTTATCAAAATCCAAACAAGGATACGATTCAATAAGGATTATTATTATTATAAACATACTCATTCATCATCATAACATTTTGTAGGATTACATTAATCAATCAATCATGAAAGAATCATTAAACTATATGTATATGACACAACAGAGCACATATTTATGTATGCCTTCATTAATGTTTTTGTACATTTTCTGTCATTTATTTATTAAAGATGTCAAGCCTCAACACAAATAATGATTAGAACAAGGGTACACCTCACTTCTCTGTGTTTACAGATTTCCATATCAAATTAACTTTTTTGAAAACAGATTTTTCAACCTTTGAGCACCAAAACTTTGGAGCAACATTTTGCTTAGTTTATGTATTTTCTATATTTTTTGGCTGATTTTGGAATGAATGTAATTTCCTATTGTCTAAATTAGGAAATTATAAAATGAAAAAAAAGTGATGAGTGTTTCATTTTAAGAGGTGACAAAAGATGACTTTGACGCTCAATAGGTTAAGCACAGTGGAACGGACATGCTTGAATTTTCAGGAAAATAGTAGAAGATATTGATATGTTGGTAATGTAGGTTCAATGTAATGAGAATTAGGATATTCCCATGCTAATTAGTTATTTGTATGTAAATCAGATGCTCTGCTATGACACAGCTGGGGAGAACACATGTATTTATATTAATAGACTGTAAATATGAATACTGGTAATTGTTAAAATCTTGTTGCCGTCAAGAGGGCCACAAAACTTGTTTATGCATTGCTTGTTTATGCAATGTTCCACTGTTCCCTGTCATCGTCTGCACTGTTCTGATCTATGTAAACATGGTATATGGACAGTGAATGTGATGAAATGGGCCACATACTATTTAAGGAGAAAATAAGTCTTGAGGCTCACGCACTTTCAACATGATCTTGCTGGACATTTGTATTAGAGGTTTATTTTGTGAATATTCAGTCTTTTCTGGATGAATAGAATGATACAATGTATGCAAAACAACTGTCAAGGATGTGGATTCAGCCAAAAATTCATTTCAGAATTTAGTTTACCATTAGACATTAATAGACATTAATCTCAATATAATCTTACCTATTTTCTAATTCTGATATATCCGTTTGCAGCTTAAGATGCCACTTTTCAGCTTGTTGAAAAAGTTGCCGTAGCAATAGTACATTTGTATGTGCAGTGTTTATCAGTTCAGTTTCCACTTCACCTCTAACAACTGCTTCCAATCCATCTAGCATCTCACTCACCTCATCAACAGTAAAAGTATCTTCAGTTAACCTGTCAAATCAGCAAATCAAGCAATTGTGACTTTTGAGGGACTTTGGTTTAAGAAACACAGTTAACTATGTGTGTGCAAATTCTACTGTTCTGCAAATTCTGCCCACAAGAATAAGCAATATGGATTTAAAGTTATAAACACAGCTAAGTAACCATCATAAATTATAATTTACCCTCACAACCCACTGTTATTAATGCACATTTCAATTAAAGAACTGAAGATATCATCAGAAAATGAACAATATGTATAGTATTAAAGCAATCAGACTTGCTGTTTTCAACAAAAATTTGAAAATATAACTTTTTATCAAAAATATTCATTAAAATTAGATAATTGAAGAACAAAATCATCACGAAATGAACAAATCTGAGAGAGGTCTATCTGCAGTACCAATAAAGTAAATATAATATCAAAGCAATTAGACTTTAGCGTTTTTTAACAAGAAGTCGAAAATATCACATTTTACCAAAAATGACAAAAATATTTATGAAAATTAGAGAATTAATGATATCATCACGAAATGAACAAATCTGAGGGAGGTCCACATGTAGTACTTAGATATGTAATATCAAAGCAATTGGACTTGTGGTTTTTAAAAAGAAGTCGATAATATCACTTTTTACCATTTTTATCACTTTTTAGCGCTCCAGATTATTACGTTTTCTTTGTTGTTTACAAAGTGTGTGTAGAGAAAAAGACGTTGTTTGGCCGCAATTTTGAATTTATAATGAAGTCATTAGCAACATCTTAAATTAGCGAATAAGTTCTCTCGCTAAATTCATTAAAAAGACATGCTCACTGTGAGATCTCATATACCGTAATGCACGAAAGATGTGAATCACACTTGAATTTTGTTTCTACATTACCTAGCTATACTAACTATACATGTGCAAGCCAGGTGTATAAACTGGTTAGTTTGCAACTATTTGTGTTTTTATGAGGCAACCCACACACAAGCAGTTATGTTGTTTCAGGCCCATGGATTCTTGTGATCAACCAGGCCACCAGTCGGCCATTTTGAATACATCTATATATCTATAACATGATGTAAAACGAATATATAAAATTCGAACATAATTAGTCAAAGCATATCAGAGATATGGCTCTAAAAGCACATTCATTTAAAAACAAAATGGTCGCAAGTCAGCCATTTTGAACCCGATCTGAAAAATAAAATGATGTGCATCAGTAACACATAATCTCTAATGTATTTATCAAGTTTGAACAAAATCCATCCATAAACGCAAAGATCTAGATCTGGAATGCCAGAAATGCTTGATTTTGATGACTTTTAGTACAAAAATGGCTGCCATAATCAGATAGTCAAATCTATATATCTATGTCATGATGTATAATGAATATATAAAATTTGATCATAATCAGTCAAAGAATGGCAGAGATATGGCACTAGAACTGCATTCATTAAAACAAAATGGCCGCCAGTTGGCAATTTTAAATTGGATCTGAAAAATAAAATGAATCATGGTTCCATAATGTCCAACGTATGTACCAAAATTAAACAAAATCCATCCATAAATGCTTGATTTTGATGATTTTTTAGCACAAAAATGGCCACCTTTCGACCATCTTGAATCAGATCTTGAAACAAATTGATGTGCATATGTTTAATATTATGTATGATGTATGTGTGAAGTTTTATTATGATTGGTCCAGGCATGTCTAAGATACAGGTCTGAACGCATGCACGGACACACAGATGCACAAAGGTCAAAACACAAGTCCTCGTTTTTGGACTACGTACGATTGGGTACTAATAATATAATAGCTGTACATATACAGTTGTTGGTTTCTATGCACTTCTAGATGAAGTAAACACAGTAGTTTGAAAAAAATAATCAGTGAGTTTGTGAATACTTGCCTACTATCTTTAAGATCCTCAAAACATCCATCAACAACTCGAAGATTCTGTCCACGTTTATACCTTGAAAACCGCATATAATTCAACACAGTTGTATGGTGGTGCTCATTCAAACCCAGTTCTGCCTGTAATTACAAATGGGTAATAATAGATGTTATTTATAAAACACAAATGAATTCTGGAGATTGTCAGTATCATAATGATCATCGTTATTGGAAAGGTTTCATCATTATCATTCTCAGGAATGAGCGAAAGATAATTGTCCACTTCAAAACTAACTTTGAGATGCCTAACATTTGTTATTAGCGGTTTTTTGCACATTTGGAGTATTAATTACTGCTTCGTGAGATATCGTCAAGTTAGAGGGTTGGCGTGGTACATGCACCTTCCAATGACAAAGTGTTGTAGCAAGCATATTAGAGCCATCACAACATGAATGTGTGTCGAGTTTGAGTTAACAATTACATGTACAAAAATCTTCGTTTTTTTTTTCAAAAGTCACAATGCCAATTTCACCAAAGGTTGGGAAAAAATATTTTTTTTTAACAAATATTTTTAAAATAGAATTAAAGGAACTTATTTTATTGGCATAAAACTAAACACAATATTGTAACTGCACACAGAAATTTACACACCAATGACAAAATTTATTTATGATATTCTAGGGTTGAAATTAAGGCCTGTCCAGCTGTCCAAGACAGTTAGATTTTATCGCGGGACAGGTTAATGTAGAAATGGCCTGATGTCTGTGGAAAAGTAAATTAATTAACTTTTTTCATATTCATTGGGCAAAATAAAAAAAAAAATAGTGTGCTTCTGGTAACTCAACCTTGTCTAGATTTAGTATTTCAGTCCTTTTAAATAGGAGCAGAGGTCCGACTTTTGTCACTTCTTATATGAAATGTGAGATCTATGAATGAATTCTGACGATAAAAACAACTTGTATGTACTGCGAAATGCACTAAATATCGAGTAAAAAATGGGCTGTGAAGTAGAGTACGGATTGACAAAAGCTATACCTCTGCTCCCCTTTAAGACTGAACTGGAAAGAGGCCATTGGAGAATGCTCACAGACTTCCTGTTTATTGCTGCATGCTGGGTAAATTCTTCACA